AGTTCGGCATGGGCGCACAGGACGCAGCAAACCTGAAGCAGGCCTCAGAGGACTGAATTGTGGGCAGCTGTGGTGGTTTCCAGACTTCTCAACCCAAGATAACTTAGAAGGTCAGTGGGAAAAGTCTGTGACTATGTGAGAGAGGAGCTAGGTCTCAGCTGCAAGTCTCCAGCAAGGCCTGGGGCCGTGGCTGTTTCCTGAGCTTCCAGACTGAGGGGGAATCAAGTGGCTTATCAGAGGGGGATTGCAGGGATCTCTTTGCCAGTGCTGAGGCAGGAATCTCTTGCTTTACTGGTGCTTGGATCTGGGTCACAGTTCTGAGGCGCGGTCCTGGGACGAGGAGGAATGCTTGTGCGGTGGAGCTTGTTGTGGTGGTGGAGAGAAAACACCTCGCTCCTTATCATAGCACCTTGGAAGAACTGAAAATTTACAGGTCCCTAGAAGTATCTCTGAAAACAGCTGTACAAACACCCAAAGCTTGGGACAGTACATTCTCCACATTGGAAGCAGACTTTTACCTTAACAAAGAGTTTAAAACTCAAGTAATTGGGTGAGATCATGAGTAAGCAGCACAAAAAGACTCAGACTATATTATCTTACTTTGGTGACAAAGAAGATGAATGCATACAACCAGAAGAAGACAACGAATCAAAGCTCCTACATCAAAAGTCTCTAAGAAAAATATGAATCAGTCCCAGGCCTTGGAAGAGATCAAAAAGGATTTTGAGAAGCAAGTAAGACAAGTAGAGGAAAAACTGAGAGTGATGCAAGAAAATCATGAAAAACAAGTGAACAACTTGCTAAAGGAGACCCAAAAAAATACTGAAGAAAATAACACCTTAAAAAATAGCCTAACCCAAATGGTAAAAAAGGTCCAAAAAGCCAATGAGGAGAAGAATGCCTTAAAAAGCAATATTGGCCAAATGGAAAAGGAAGTCCAAAAGATTACTGAAGAAAATACTTCCTTAAAATTGGAATAGAGCAATTGGAAGCTAGTGACTTTATGAGAAATCAAGACACTGTAAAACAAATCCAAATGAATGAAAAATTAGAAAACAATGTGAAATATCTCATTGGAAAAACAACTGATCTGGAAAATGGATCCAGGAGAGAGAATTTAAAAATTATTGGACAATCTGAAAGCCATGATCAAAAAAAGAGCCTAGACATCATCTTTCAAGAAATTATCAAGGAAAACTGTCCTGACATTTTAGAACCAGAGGGCAAAATAGAAATTGAAAGAATCCACTGATCTCCTCCTGAAAGAGATCCCCAAAGGAAAACTCCTAGGAATATTGTAGCCAAATTCCAGAGTTCCCAGGTCAAGGAGAAAATATTACAAGCAGCCAGAAAGAAACAATTCAAGTATTGTGGAAACACAATCAGGATAACACAAGATTTAGTAGCTTCTACATTAAGGGACTGCAGGGCATGGAATATGGTATTCCGGAGAGCGAAAGAGATAGGATTACAACCAAGAATCACCTACCCAGCAAAACTGAGTATAATCCTGCAGGGGAAAAAAAATGGTCATTCAGTGAAATAGCGGACTTTGAAGCATTCTTGATGAAAAGACCAGAGTTGAATAGAAAATTTGATTCTCAAATACAAGACTCAAGTGGAATATGAAGAGGTAAGCAGGAAAGAAAAATCGTAAGAGACTTATTAAGGTTGAACTGTTTACATTCCTGCATGGAAAGGTGATATTTGTAACTCATGAGACCTTTGTCAGTATTAAAGTAGTTAGAGGGGAAAAAATTATATGTACATATATATAGATATGGATAGATAGAGGGCACAGGGTTAGTTGAAAATGAAGGGGTCATATCTGGAGAATAAAATTAAGGGGTGAGAGAAGATTATACTAGAAGAAGGAGAAAGGGAGAGGTAGAATGGGGTAAATTATCCCACAAAAAAAAAGCCCAGAAGAAAAGGCTCTTATAGTGGAGGGGAAACAGGGGAAGGTGAGAGGGAATGAGTGAATCTTATTCTCATAGGATTTGACTTAAGGAGGAAGTAACATACACACTCAATTGGGTATGGAAATCTGTCTTACCCTACAGGAAAATGGGGGGGGAAGGGGACAAGAGAGTAGGGGGATGATAGAGAGGAGGGCAGATTGGGAAAGGGGGTAATCAGAAGCAAATACTTCTGAGGAGGGACAGGGTCAGAAAACAAAACAGAATAAATGAGGGGGTGGGATAGGATTAAGGGAAATAGAGTTAGTTTTTCACAGCATGTTTACCATGGAAGTGTTTTGCATAACTGCACATGTATAACCTATATTGAGTTGCTTGCCTTTTCAATGAGGGTGGGTGGGGAGGGAGGAAGGGAGAAAATTTGGAACCCAAAGTTTTAAAAACACATGTTTAAAAAAAATGTTTTCACATGCAACTGGGAAATAAGAAATACAGGAAATGGGATACAGAAATCCATCCTGCCCTACAGGAAAATGGAAGGGGAAGGGGATAAGAGAAGTGGGGGAGAGATAGAAGGGAAGGCAGACTACGGGAAGGGGTATTCAGAATGCATGCCATCTTGGGGTTGGGGGAGGGGCAAGATGGGGTAAAAATTTGGAACTCAAAATCTTGTGGAAGTAAATGTTGAAAACAAAAAAATAAATTAAAATTACCGTAAAAATAATTTAAGAAAAAAAAGAAAGGTTGAGACCAGCTTGCGAAGAGCTTTAAAAGCTGAACAGAGTAATTAAAATTTTATCCTAGAAACAACAAGGAACCACTGGGGTTGACTGAGAAGGGAGTGACATGCTCCAATCTACACTTAAGGAAAATCACTTTGGCATAAGTATGTACAGATAGAGTGAAGTGGGGAGAGACTTGAGGCAGGGAGATCACTTAATTAAAAGGCCATTATAGTAATCTAGGCAAGAGGTGCTTCGACTAAAGTAGGGTTAGAGAACTTAAAAATCTGTTCTGTGAAATTTGGATTCAGTCAAAGGGCCACATTTGAAGACCTTGAGGGCCTTATGTGTCCTTGAGGCTGCAGGTTCCCCACCCCTGGACTAAAGAGATAGTTTTGTGACTAGAGAGAATGGTGCAGGTACAAGAGATTTAGTAGACTTAGAAAAGCAAAATGTGTCCACTGATTGGATATGAGTAGTGAGGGAGATTGAGAAATTAAGTGATGATGATAATAATAATAATAATAACAACAACAATAATAATCTAAAGCCATGGACCAGGGAGACTGGAGAAATGGTGGCATTTTTGACAGAAATAAGGTAAGTTTTTTCTTCTCCCCACGAGCTTCACTCCTTGGATTCTATCTATTCCACTATAAACATGCTTCCAAGGAAAACTCATCACCACAAAACCCATCATCTGGGAGACTGCATAGCCTTTGGTAGTCAGAGCTCATCAGTACCCTCAGTAGTCTCTCCCTCTCTGAATAGAGGGCTAGAGAACAGAGCAAAAAAAAAATTCTCCCAGAGTCTCCATTTAAAGAAGGTTCACAGCCCAACCATTTCCCATTAGCCACTCTCCCTGGAGTCTACTTCACTTTATCACAGCTTGCTAAGAGTACCTTCTCCCTACTCTTTACTCCTTTTCTGCTTCCTTTTGTGTGAAAACTCCTTGAGCAAAGGGACAGTTTTCAATATTTTTTTTAAAATTTGTATCCCCAGAGGTTATAACAGTGTCTGGCATATAAGAGGTATTTAATTAATGTTTATTGAATTGTATTGAATAGTTTAGAAGAGGTGTAGGTTTGGAGGGAAATATAGTAAGTTATGTTTTGAACATAATGAATGAGATTCCTTTCAAATATCCAGTTAGAAATGTTCAATAGGCAGTCAGCTGGTGAAGGGCTGGATGGATAGATCTGGCATAGAGATGGTAATTAAACCCACAGGAGCTAATGATGTCACTAAAAGAAAAGAGAAGAGAGAGAAAGGAGCTCAGGACATAGTGTTGGGTAACAAACACAGTTAGGGGCCACTATTCACATGATGAGCTAGCAAAGAAGACTGAGAAAGAGCAGTTGGACAAGAAGGAGATTCAGGAGAGTGTCAGGAAAACACAGGGAGGACACAGTATGGAGGAGCAGAATGTGATCACCAGTGTCAAATGCAGCAGTTAAGTCAAGAAGGTTGAGGACTGAGAGAGGAACACAAAATTTAGCAAACTGAATCATGTATAACTTTAGTTGAGTGATGAGTTAAGATGCCAGAATGCAAAAGACTGAGGAGCAAGTGAGGGAAGATGAAGGAATGGCAGCAAATATAAATAACTTTTTCTGGGACTTAGGCTGAGAAAGGGATATATGAGGATAGTTTGAGGAGATAGTAGGGTCTTGGGCATGCTTGAAGGCAGTTAGGAAGGAACTAGCTGATAAGCTAATAATAATAATGATGATGATAATAACTAACATTTATACAACAAGTACGATGTGCCAGGCATTGTGCTAAGTTCTTTACAAATGTTACCTCATTTGATCTGGACAGCAACCTATTGGTGCTAGTATCTTTATTTTATAGTTAAGGCAACTAAAGTCAACAGAAGTTAAATGATTTGCCCAAGGTCACACAGCTAGCGTGTCTGAAGCTGAATGTGAACTATGGTCCTCTGGAAACATAGGTGTCCTATCTACTGTTGAGAAATAACAATAGAAGGAATATTTTGCTGCAGAAGATTGGAGGGAATGGGCTTAAGGATAAATGGAGAGAGGCTGACTTTGGCAAGGCAAAGGGTCATTTCATTATCAGAGACTGGGAGAAAGGAGAAAGAGTTAAGAGATGATGTCAAGGGGTTTAGAAGTGAAGAGAAGAAGAGAAGAAGGAACTCATATTCAATGGCTTCAATTTTCTCAGGAAAGTATAAGGGAAGGTCCTTGTAGAATATGTGGAATGGGCTAGGGATAGTGGCAGTGGCAGTGGATTGAGACTGCTGTCAGGGTTGGTGCTGAGCGCTCAAGCTCAGGTGAAGCAGATTGGGTGCCACATCCTAGTGGAGGGAGTGACAACTACGTGCTGCAGGAGCAGCACCAAGACCATGGCTGGAGGCAAAGCTGGAAAAGACAGTGGGAAGGCCAAGGCTAAGGCAGTTTCTCACTCTCAAAGAGCTGGACTACAGTTCCCAGTGGGACATATCCATAGACACTTGAAGACTCACACCACAAGTCATGGATGCATGGATGCTACTGCTGCAGTATATAGTGCTGCAATTCTGGAGTATCTCACTGCTGAGATGCTGAAACTGGCAAGAAACACCTCTAAATATCTCAAAGTAAAATGTATCATTCTTCATCACTTACAGCTTGCAATCCATGGTGATGAAGAGTTGGACTCCTTTATTAAGGCTACCATTGCTGGTGGTGGTGTGATTCCTCACATCCACAAGTCTCTAATAGGAAAGAAAGGACAGTAGAAAACTGCATGGAAGGTTGTTTCAACCAACCAACTTCTTCCCTCCTGTCACTGTACTGTAACAGGAGAAATAATGGGGATATGTGGAATTTTTAAAAATAGTTAAATGGAAAAGCAGAGACAATTAACTGTAGACATAAAACATGTGTATGTTCTTTAGATTCCAAGTTTGACAAAGTATCCTGTCATGTGGCAGCACTTTGTGTGTTGATTGGTTAGGTTTCTTCCAATGTGTTTTATACAAAAATGAATCGATAAAACCATTTTTTTAGGCAATTGGGGTTAAGTGACTTGCCCAGGGTCACACAGCTAGTAAGTGTCAAGTGTTTGAGGCGAGGCCGGATTTGAACTCAGGTCCTCCTGACTTCTGGGCCAGTGCTCTATCCATTTCGCCACCTAGTTGCCCCAATAAAGCCATTTTTTTACAAAAAGAAAAAAAAAGAATATGTGTAATGTTTGAAGAGACAAGAAAAAGTTTATAACAGAGTAACTTCTGTAGGAAGTGAGATAGGAATCCAATTAGGGAAGATTAAAAGGATTCCCTTGCTGCAATGAGGGCATAGCTGAATTTGTATAACTTGAATACATGCTATATCTAGTTAGTATAGTTGAGTAATTTCTTCCAGCTCCGTATGTGCCCAACAATGAAATTGGGGACAAAAGGTACTTTTTTGGTAACTTTTACTGGATTGCTGAATTGCTCTTTTAAAAGATTCTACAAGTTTGCAATTCCATCAAGAATGAATAGGTCCACCACTTTTGACACAACCCCATGAGAATTGAAGAGAAAGCCTATCTTCTAGGACAAGTGTGAGGATAAAATGAGATGATGTCTATTCATAAAGCAACTTGCAAACCATTAAGTGTTACAGAAATGTTACTATTATTGTTGTTATCATTATTATTAATATTTAACAACATTATGAATATGAGCTACTAAATGTATTCTTTGTGCAAACAGAAGAAATCAATAGACATGGTTTCTCAAATGATTTTCTACAGCTGACCACATCTTCAGATCAAAGTCATGTACAACAAGGAGACAGGTAATTTTTTTTTTAACAGGAGATAGAGACTACATATCAAGACCTGAATGCTGCACTTTGAACCACAAAATATTAAAAGATTTAGAGGAAATTTTCCATTACATTGGGCAGATCTTTGAACAACTTTGGAGGAAAACAGGAATAAATTATACAACATAAAAAGGTATGATGGATGTGTGATTTTCACCAGTGGAAGAAATAATCATATTAATAAGAATACTGACCCATCCAAATCTCAAGGTAAGTTCATAGTCAAAGAAAATAATACCTCTCACCCTAACCAAGTTATAGGACAGCAGTTATAGAGACACAAGTATGCTATCTGAAGATGTTTAACACATGTGTAGCATTCTGTGCATTATTAATTATCACAGTTAATTTCATCAACTAATAAAAAGCTTAAGGCCTATTATTACATGCACAGCTAAATATTTAACTTACCACACTAATGTTGCCATTCCAGGAAATAACACTTACTAGAATTTATCTAGCATTACTTCCATAATACTACAGTGGAAAAAGTACTGATTCTAAATAAAAGGACCTGGATAAAAATCCTGACTGCTACTTAACTACCTGTGTGATCTTAGATGAGTCAATTCACTGAGCTTCAGGTATTTCATCTGTGAAGTAAAGAGGTTGGACAAAATTTTTGCAAAGGTATCTTTCAACTTTAAGTCTATAATCCCTGTGAAAATATTTTGTTTGTTGTCCAAATGTCCAAACTCTAAATGCAATATAAACATGTTTTGAAAAACATACTTAGATCATAGAAAATTTGACTACATTGCACAGAAATGAAAAACAGAGTTTTCTTTGAACCTCATTTCATTTCTTTGTTTTTTTTTTTTAATGTCAGAACTGATGGAATGCTATTTTGAGCATTAAATATGTTTTTTGGGCTTCTTTGAATCCCCCAATATGTGAATGAAATGTTTGTCTTGACTTTTGTCAAAAATATGTTGTGTTAATTATTTCAATACATCAAAGATGAGGAAACAAAACATAAAGTAAACAACTTGATGTTTATTGAAAGAATGAGGCAGTAGAGATGATTATTTTGAAATTCAAAGAGCTTAAAAATTAGAACTAAGATTTTCAGGGGCTCAGAAAAGAGCTATTTAAAGATGGGAATAATTAATAAGTAAACACTGAATGGGAGAGAAATAATTATATATCAACTGGGATAGAAGCACCCAAAAGAGGCTGGCAATTTTTAGTTTAAATGGTATTAAAAAAAAAAAACCAACAGATATGGTTTTTTTTTTATTTTGTCATTAACAATGTTATATGCAATGTCACTACAATTAGCCTCTTTTTATTGCTCATAATTTGCCTTAGCAATGAACTAAATTCAATGAAACAGCTTGCTGAGGAATCTTATATTATTTTAAGGGTTGTTTTAAGTGAAAAATAATATTTAATATGGAATGAAGAATGCATCCAACATTTTACCTATTAAAAATCCTCCAATAAGTGCAAATAAAGCCATGCAGTATCACTAATTTGGATCCCAGTAATGAAAAATGTAAAGTAACTTTGGTCAAATTTTACCTTTTAATTAGCTATGAAACAAATGGTAAATAAATCTTACAGTCTTATGGTTTGCTAAGCAAATTAATTGCAGAAACAAGATTGCAAATAGCATTGCTTTAACCTGTTCAAAATAACAAATTGTTTTAAAGCCCTTTTAGTAGCAACACTTGCACATACAAAGAAAAGCTAATTACAAATAATCCTCTAATTTATCAAGGCAAGTGTAACATTTCTACTAGTTAACACAATCATTAAATGGAGTTATTATATGCACTTGAAAGTAATCGAAAATGAACTGCTTTTTAAAATTCTGTCCTTTATGCTTCCAATTAATTCACAATTATCTCATATAGGCTGAACCTGTAGGCCATTAAGATTGTCTTACATTCACTTCCTTTGGAATGTATGTTTGTATATATGATGTCTCACAAATTTTGCTTGTTCCACATGTAAACGTTTACTTCTGATGTTTGTCTTGAACAACTTCTCAGTTTATGTATTTTTCCTGGCTCTCCCCCACCTCTGCACTAAAAGGGGATGATAACATTGCAATTCACCATTAAAATGTATTCCTGCTCATTATTTTTGTCCCTTTGTTATTGCAGGGTGCCATGATTTCTAGTACCAAAATCCAGACATTTTGAAAGCCTGCTCAGTCTATTTCCTGATACTCCAGTTTAATTACTTTCTCAATTCATTCACCCAAACAATAAATATTTTATTTGTACTATAATAATTCTGGATTCATAAACAGGCTCCAGGGTTCAAGTTTTAGTCTTGCCTCCAGTTGGCTGTACAAATACGGGCAACTAATTTCCCCTTATTGGGTCCCAATTTCCTTATTTGTAAGATGAGGGAAATTGAATTAAATAAACTTTTAGGGTACCTCCCAGGTCCACCATCCTGTTTCCGACTTGTGTCTTTATGTTCCATCTCAATTCTCCTGTTTTGTTACTCTGCTCTCAATAATTTCTATTTATTCTAATTATAACCCCACTAAACAGCTATAATTTTGGAGTTAGATTTTCTAAATAAATGTGCTCTAAATAAATGTTCCCATGGTTTTATTTTGTTTATTGCACTAAATTAGTATTCTTTAAATTAATCTTATTGTTGGATGGTGTATATTTGAATTATGTTAGAAAAAACTATGAAAGCTGTTTATTCTTGGATTGATTCTAACGGAGATGTACAAAGTAATATATTTCACAACTTAAAGGGTTTAATTCTATTTTATGTAATTCTAGAAGAATATAGCTCATTGCATATATGAAATTATTCAAGAATATTATTTTGTATTATTTTTAGTACTATATATCTTAATTCTATAATCAGTATAGTTACAGTTAAGCAGAGTTGAATGTAACAAACAAAAATATAATATTGAGGCTTAGACACTCCAAGCAGGATAATATAGTAAGAAGTTAAAAATCAGGCCATGGTGAGTAAAAATACAAACTTAAAAAAAATAAAACAAAAAACAAAAAACTTCTACTTGCAGAGAAGGAACAAAACTTAACAAGTTACATATGTCAAAGCTAGAAGGCTTCAAATGTAATTTTATTTTTAAATTTTAAGAATGACACTCCTATAATTCAAACTTCATCCCTCAATTTCTATTTTCAAAGAAACATATGTCCATTGAATATTTTTGCACTATTCTACATACATATTAATATTCTAAATGAACAGGCTAAGACTCTCTAAAATAATACCACTGTACTCATTTAGCTTACTTACGTGTTCCCAATAAATCACTCCTTTTCCCAAATACACACACTCAGACTCAGGCACAGGCATGGAACCTATTATATACTCCTCCCTCCACAAACACACACTTAAACACCCACTTTAATAAAGAAATTTGAATGTATTTCATGTGGTAAAGAGTTAGGGCCCTTATGTAGCATCAGGGGAAAAAATGGTGGGGAAAAACTCTCTCATACCATGGAAAGAAGTCAACATTTAAAGGCTGTGCATACTAGTCATTCAAGAATGTCAATCATTTTTGTTATGAAATATTAAACACTTAGAGGCTGCCAATCAATAATACAGAAATATGGAGTGGCTTTAAAAAAATTGCCATGCAAGTACTGAACGAGGAGAGAAACCTAACACCTTTACCTGAAAACATTTATATAAATGTATTTATCAGTTTTTAAATGTTACTCACTGGGATAGCCTCATAAAAATACACAGCTTATGTTTATGAGTTTCCAGGAGCCATCTGTTACTATATTTTATCATTATTTATTACTTCAGTAGTGCTCAAAGGGCAAATGATGTTTTAAGCTTGTTCTACTCCTAGTGAAAACAAAGGACAAGGGCCAGGATGAAGACTCTGAAATGTGGAAAGGTCCTTTTCTCCAATGGTTTCTTTGTGAGCTGACAATCTTGATTCTTCCAACAGCTGTTACTA